CACCCAGGGTCCAGGGACGTGGACTCTGCCTCACCCTGACAGCCAGTGGGCCATATGCCACACACATGTACCCACCCTGTGCCTGCTGCCAACAACAAAGGATGCACAAGAGGCTAGGCAGGGGCCTCGGCCAAGGGCACCCAGATGGGCAAGGTGGCCCATGCAGGACCCCAGGAGGCGGGCAAGAGCTGCAGGCCAAGACCACGAGGAATTCTTACAACTCCGCCAGGTGTGTGGGTGCGCTCCAGGAGTGCGGAGGTGGGAGGGTCATAAGTCCCAGCCCAGCACAAGCAACTTAGTGACTTACTGGGATCCTATTTCGAAATTTTAAAAGAGAGCTGGGGATGTAGCTCATTGCAAAGGCCTTGGGTTCAATCTCCAATACTGAAGGAACAAAAAAAAAGAGCAAATGACTATGCCTGGTGATCCTAGCCACTTGGGAGGCTGAGGCAGGAAAACAGCAAGTTCCAGCTTAGCCTGGGCAACTTAGGGAGGTCCTGTTTTAAACTAAAACACAAAAAGGCTCAGGGTGGAGCCAAGTGGCAGAGTTAGAACATGCACAAGGTCTGGGTTCTACCCCCAGCACCAGCTCCATCACTAAAAAAAAAAGGGGGTGAGGGGAGGCCCCTGTCGATTTAGTTCAGTGGCACTGTGCCTGCCTCGAAAGCGCAAGGTCCTGAGTTCGATCCCCAGTACTGAAAAAGGGGGGAGGGGTGGATGCTGCCCATAGTCGAACGCTCCTCCAACACCTCCAGTCACGGGGAATCGCCAGCATGACTCAGTTGACCTGAGTTGGCCGCCAGGGCTAGAACAGGCCTCCCGGGCTGCTGGCTGTCTACAGTGGGAGAGAGATCAGACAGGACCCATCCTCTGGGGACCGGCTGCCACACCCTCCCAGGCAAACCTGGCCTGCTGCAGCTCACAAGGGGCCCTGTCCACTTGGGCTACTGGATCGAAGCTCTAGAAACCAGGCAGCCTTCCCCTCCCAGTCAACAAGGGCCACTCGGCACTGTGGCCTATGCTACCTGTGGGTCCCCAGGTCCCCACGCTGTCCTGACTGCACTGATGTGAGTGTCCCAGGTGCCCACAGGCCCCAATGCCCCTCTCCGTCCATGCACAGCCAGACCCGGCTGCTCTCGCAGCTTGTGTCTGTGCCCTGTGCCCAACTGTTCTCCCTTAGGTGTCCGCCTGCCCATACCTCTGCAGAACTCACGTTCGGAGATCACCCTACAGCCCTGCTCCTCCTGAGTGCCTGTAAAGGTGACGGCTCCCAGCTGTGAACTATGGACCGACCAAGACTCTGCCAAGTGCAGCCCCAGGCAACCTCATCTCCCGGAGGGATCTGTCTGCCACCTTTCACTCAGGTGGCCCCAGCACAACTCACACACTGATGGCCCCGGAGGGCCAGACATGAGGCAAAACTGAGGAGAGAGCTGAGGAGCAGGTTGGCTCCAAATGACCACCTGGTAGGGGCCGAGGATTTAGCTCAGTGGTGCTGCTGCCTGCCCCGCAAACACCAGATCCTGAGTTCATCCCCCGGAACCAAAAAAAAAAAAAAAAAAGTAACTCAAATGACCACCTGGTAACAGCAACATCTGCCTCTGCAAGCATGTGCACCTGCAGCCACACAGCCCCCAGGACCCCTGGGGAAGATTTGCCTTCCCAGCTGATCGGATGCAAACGCTGCTCCCCACAGACTACATCTGCTCCTGATGCCAGCCACCGGGAAGACAAGAGAATGGAGTGATGGCCCTAGGTCTGAGGATTGCTGGGAGCCAGGGCCTACACTCAGGGCACTGGGTGGGATGTGCCCATCACACACTCCAGGTCAGTGGGCACACTGGTCCAGGGGGGCCTGGCTCCTCCTGGCAGGCCCTTCCCAGGCTGGCCAATACCATGACGGACCCTGCAGTTCAGGAGTCTCAGAGGCAGCACACTCTGGTCCTGGAGATGGCCTGCCTTGCACCCCAGGTCTCAGCCCACCCCCACCTCAGCAGACAGGTCCAGAAGCAGCAGAGTCCACCCCAACACATCTCCCACAGTTCCCTGGTCATCTCTGGTGCCCAATCCACGCCCTCCCAGGGCCTCTGCAGGGCTGGACAGCTGCTGTGAAGAGTGGAAGGCAGTCACCACCACAGCATCCAGTATGACATGGGACACACCAAGCAGGCAGTGGCCAGAGGGCGGATGGAGGCACCTAGGGAGGAGTGAAGGGGTGGGGGTGGTACAAAGCCCAGAGAGAATGCAGTGACAATGACAATAGCTACCCACATTGCCCAGTGGCTCACCACTGGCTGCCTCTCTCCACCCCACTCACCCAAGGCAGGGGCCCAGATACCCACCATCCCATCTGCACACACAGACACCTCTGCAAGGGAAGGCAGGCCTGTCAGTGGGGGCCAACAGGTGTCACCCCCACTGGGGAGCTGGGTGAGGAAACCTTCACTGGGCCTGCTGCACCCCAAAAAGAGGCCTCATGGTGTACTCCAGGCAGCACCCACGGACCAAGGGCACATGCACTAGAGGGTCCTTCCACCCACCCCTGGGAGGCCAGTCCACAGGGCACCCCATACCCATGCCCCACACCAGTGTACGCTGGGACACAGCAGGTCCAGACCCACATACTCGACCCAAGTGAGGCCTCCACTCTAGCCAGCCTGTCTGGTTCGGGCTCCCACACACTGATCCAGCTAAGCTGACCTTTCCGAGACACCCAGGCACTCCACCGCTGCTTCTCACAGCCCCAGCCCGGGCCCTCCTTCTACCAAGCCCAGCTGCAAGGATGGCTCCTGCTGAGGATACTGTCACAGGCAAGTCACAGGCTGGCAACTTACACCCGAGTCCCCCTGGACCCTAATGGGCGTGGACCAATCATCAAACTTCCTGACAGGGGAGGTCACTGAGTGCCTGGCCAAGGCCATACAGTGGAGAGCGGCACAGCTAGTGGGCCTCAGCAACTCCCAGACCCCAGGATGGTCCCAGAGAAGCCCTGGGGAGCAGTTTTCCGCCCTTAGCAGTCCGGGATGCCAGAGAAGGCATTGCTGCAATAGCAGCCAGTTTCCATCATGGCCACCAGCTGGCATTTCATAAAAACCAGCATCACAGCAACCGCAGCGTGGGCAAGTCCCTCTTCCAGGTGCCGGTGGTGACTGGGACTTTCCCAGCTGCGAGCAGCCTTTCCAGAGCATGCAGCAGCTCTGACACAGTCACCACCAGCTCAGCCCTGCTCCAACCCCCTCAGGAACCAGCCCCCTCCCCATTCCATACTCTTAAATTTACCAACGTTTCTCATTAAACATCTGTCACTCCCTGACCAGCCTGTAACTCCTGTAAGGGCAAAGGCCAAGCTGGATCGCTATAACCAGAAGGACCTCACAGGCCCAGGCACTGTTTGTTGGTGCAGGTCAGGGTTCTCATCCAAGGCCACAGGGCCAGGAGTGGCCACACTACACAGGGACCCAGCACCCTGTTGGGTCCAGAAAGGAGACCAAAAACACTAAGGGCACAGTGGGGCTGGGTCAGTTCTGCACACCCGTCCCCCAGAGCTACAGCCTGGACAATTTCCTGGAGTTCACACCAGGCTCTGCAGCTGCACTGCCAATCTCAGCTTCCTGGGCCTACACCACACCCCCACATTTTATTTCTCTCTCCTACCGATCCTGGTCCTGTTCCCCTTCCTAAGCCCAACTCCAACAGTCTCCTCTTCCTGGAGAGCCCGACAGACTCCTCCTCTGAAGTCCCTCCTGCCAGGGAACACCACAGCCTCCCAGGAGGTAAGCAGTGGGGCACACCGGTAGGGCTCCACACCCTCACAGACCCAGCCCTTTCCCCTAGCTATGGGCTCCAGATATCCCTCCACCTCTCCATCTCACTTAACATCAGGACCACACGCTGCCTGAGGCTACCTCAGGCGTCAGTTTTCACAACCGGAAAACAGAAGTGGGTTGGACTAAATGGCCACTTTCCTAGGCAACCTAGGGAACAGGGGTTGAAACTGCAGATGACCATGTTTACTTCAGACCTACTGAGAATCCAGCGACAGGGGCCTGAAACAGAACCTTCTGGTAGCAGCCATCTCCCCTACCAGGTGACGACAGGCCGGTCTGAGAAACACACTACGTAAAGGAACAGGAAGCACCCTAGGGACGACCAGACAGGGGCCCCTGGGCCAAACGGCTGCCTTTCGCTACCTGGAGGGCAGGCAGTGCAGCCAAGCCCCTGAGGAGTGATCCCCTGGCCTCCGTGCCCCAGCCCCGGGAGGGTCTGGCCACAAACACCTGCCGCACGCAGCCTTGGGATCCTGGCCTAGCGCCTGGAGCTACCCTGCGTCTCTGAATGGAAAGTGGCGGCAGCTGGGCCCCTGAGGGGACCGCGAAGAAGAGGGCCCCCACGCGCGTAGAGATCTCCCCCGGCGCTCAGTCGGGTCCGGCTGCCCACGGTCTCCCCCACCCAGTGTCCCGAGGCAATGCCCACGCCGATCCTCCCTGTGGCGCTTCCAACCCAGCACTCGCCTCCCCGACCTCTGCTTCCGCTCTTGCAAAGCCGAGCAGGCTGCATCCAGAGTTTATGCGAGACGGTGGTCACCTGGGCCCCCCGCCTCCTGCCTGGCCTCGATGCCTTGCATCTGATCAGGGGCTCGGGCCCGCAGCGTCTCGGGCGCTCCACTGGGGGACCCTGAGCCGGTGCCGCCCGGCCTCAGTTTCCTCGCCGGCGCCCCCGACTCGGCCGCGGCCTTGCCAGGCCTGAGCGCACAAGCCCCCCGCCCGCGCGGGCCTCACCGGCAGGCGCGGTACAATCTCGACCGAGCAGCAGTGGCAGAAGTACCGTCCAGGATGCGGCGACGCCTCGGCCATTGCCACCTATGCCTCCGCGCCCCCGCCCCCCCCCCAGCGCGCGGCAATAGCCGCCTGCCGTTTGGTGCTCCCTCGCCGGCCGAAGAACCCGCGCACGCACACGCACGGCACGCACGTTCACGCACGGCACGCACAGCGTAGGACGGGAACGCGCGAACGGCGCGGACTGCGCGCTTCCTCGGCGGCGGAAAGGGTGACGGTGGCCGCTGAAGGACAAGTGAGGCAAGGAATCAAACTAGGGGCCGGGCAAAGGGCGGAGCTAGGCCTGGGGGATGTGGAGGAGAGGGATCTGGAGGGACGGGGCCGAGTCTCCTTAGCAACTAGGATTCAGTACACGGGTGGGGCCAGGTTTGAAGGCTGCAAAATAAACCGAAGGGCGGGGTCAAATCTCCTCGGCAACCGGGATTGAGCGAGAGGGTGGGGCCCAGCCTGGTGGCTGCGGAGGAGGCCTGCGCTGGGCGGGGCCGAGTCTCCTTGGCAACTAGGATTTGGTAGGGGGCGGAGCCATTTTGGAGGCTGCGGGGGGGGGGCAATGGGTGGGGCCTACGCGAGCCCCTCCTTTTTCTCCAAACCCCGAAGACCCCCCCCACCCCCGTCTTTCACTCTACTTCCTCATCTGCCAGTCTCTCCCTCATTGCGCCCTAATGTCCCCACTTTCCTAGGATTCTCCAGTCACACTTCTACCGCAGGACATTTGCGTTGGCTGTGCCCCCCCCATCCCCCACATTCCCAAGTGGCTTTCTTACTCCTGTCTTTCATGCCAGCTCTTTCCACCTGATGAAGGGACTTTTGTTCGGTTTCTGGCCGGGCCCCTAACAGTGCCTGGTGCAAGCAACGTCCCATAAACACCCATGCAATAAATTCAGATGGGCCACCCATTCCCTCAGAACCTAACCTGCTGCTGGTCTCAGGGCTCACTGTGCAGCACCTCTTAGGTGCAGAGGGAGCAGGAACCCAAATCCTTTCCTTTCCCAGAATTAGCTGCAAAGGTTGCTCCATTCCCCAGCGAGGGCCAGGATCGACTCTGAGGTTAGTTCCAGCCTCATTATACGTTTCTTTATTCACTCAACAAACATCCACTGAGCACCTGCTACATACCAGACCCTATATTTACACTAACACCCTGGGCCCCCATGAAGTTGGGCCACAGAGTGGGACCCTAGAGTGACCCCTGCTCGGCCTGGGGCGACAAGGAGGGATTCCTGAAGAAGAGGGTGTTGGAACTAGGCCTTTGAGGAATTAATAGGAGTTGGTTGGGCTTCCTGCAGGAGGGGGCGTTGAGTTTGACAGTCCCCTAAAGTGGACGTTTTAGTCAGTCCATTTGTATAGGTTATTCCAACCTATTCCCTCCATGGCCACCAGAGGGCGCTCTGGCCTCGTGATTGGGAATCCAGTGACTTCTCTAGGACCAAAGCCTGAGGCTCCAAACCAGGCTTCCTATGCCCAGTCCAGGTGAACTCCGGGTGATCCTCCTGCCTCAGCCTCTTCACATCAATGTCCTTAGACTGACATTTTTGAGGCTCCACCCACGTGGCAGCCTAGGGTTGCTGTTAAAAGGTCTTGTGGCAAGCCTGGTTTGAGGTTCCTCTAAGCCACCCACTGGGGGCTGTGTGACCCCAGAGAAGTCGCTTAACCTCTCTGTGCAGGTTGCAGAACCTGCCCCTGGGGGTTTTTGGTTGGATCTGACTAGGGAAGACGGGGGAGTATCTTCCCCTTTCCTCCCTAACCGGCCCCCAAACCCTAGCGTGAGCAGTGGCATCTCCCAGCACACAGCGAGTATGAGATTCTGGAACAAATGAGCAACTAGTGTACGTCTGTCCTGCAGGCCCAGGCGGGTCTGCTGGGAAAGCAGTGGGAACAACAGTGTTATAAAACCGAGGGCCAGCTGGGTGTGGCGGGGTGCACCTGTCATCCCAGCACCTGGGACGCTGAGGTGGGAGGCTTGCAAGTTCGAGCCCAGCCTGGGCAACGTGACAACATAGTGAGACCTTGATTCAAAATCAAAACTGAAAAGAGGGCTGGAGATGTAGCTCAGTGTGGAGGCCCTGAGTTCAATCCCAGTACTGGAAAAAAACAAGCAAAACAAAAAACCCTGAGGGCCCGGTGTGCGCCTGGTGGTGTGAGGGCCCTAAAGTTTCACCCTCTGCAAAGCTCCGTGAAGTGGGGACAACGAAGACAGGTACCCACATGCCAAAGCCCGGATTCAGACCCAGGCCCCCTGGGCTGCCCAGGCCCAAGTCCAGCCCAGTGTGGGAGCCCACATGTCCTGGCTGGGTCTTCATGCACCCAGCAGCCCTGAGCTCCTGCAGCCCACGAGTGCCCATTCGTGACTGGGCAGCCACCTCACTTCCACTGCCGAGGCCACTGAGAAGGGGAGAGCTGTGCACCCCAGGCCTCTGAGGCTCCCTGAGACTCCAGGCTGTCACCCAGTGTGGAGAGGTCCTCGTGCTTCCTGGGATGGCCTTCTTTTTTTTTTTTTTGGCACCTGGGATCGAACTCTGGACCTTGGGCTTTTGAGGCTGGTGCTGGAATCATTGAACTAAATCCAGGCCCAATAGTCAGTTTTTTTGTTTTTTGGGTACCAGGGATCAAACTCGGGTCCTTGCGCTTGCACAGCAGGCGGCGAAACCACTGAGCTGAATCCCCAGCCCCCCATGCTTCCTGGGAAAGGCTTCAAATCAGATTCTGGAGTGGAGCAGGGTGCAGCCCCTCAGGGACACCTGGTCTCCTCCAGCCTCAGTTTCTAGCTCCCCAGGGCACCCAGGGAAGTGTCTCCATCCAGGATGCTGTGACGTGTTCCCCCAGCTCCCTCCAGCCTCTGGGCCTCAGCCCATCTTTCTCTGGCCTAGACACCTGCACATATCTGGTTTCCACCTTGAGCAGGCAACTCTGGCCCATGCCTCGGTTTCCTAGTGAGCAACAAATAGGTGGGTGTGGTGGCACACGCCTGTCTTCCCAGCACTTGTGAGGCTGAGGCAGGAGGACTGCCATGAGTTCAAGGCTAGCCTGGACCACAGATCGAGACCCCGTCTCAAAAAACAAAACAAAATGGCTGTGACCCTGCCCAGGAGCTGGTGAGAAGCTCTGTGTTCAGAGCTATGGCTTTGCATTAAGCCTAGGGGACTCTGGTGTCTCCGTGGCTAGCGAAAGCCATTCCAGGCCCACACTGGAAGAGAGGGGAGACTGAGGGACAGAGGCGGGCACCGCTTCCACCTGCGCCGTGCCTTCTGGCAGGACGGTACCACAATGTTTGAGTGCTTTTCGCTCATACTTTGACAATTTACTTGTTTTGACTTGAATGTGTTTTCCCTTTTCATTTATATTTGTGGCTAGCACGTTTTTAGCTCTATCTTTTCATTTACAGGTTTTTCCTTTGCTGTGGATACTTTTCAGTGTGTGGTTTTCTGCTAACTCTATCCTTGTACATATATTTGGGGGGAGAGGAGGATTGTGGTTTGGTTCCTTTTTGTAACTTTGTTGGCGATGTTTGATACTTCTGTGATCTTGCAAGTGACATTTGTTGGTTGGGTTTTTTTCCAATCAGCCCATTTTTCAAATTAAGATCAACTCCTACTTCAAGCTGGGTGTGGTGGCGCACACCTGTCATCCCAGCACTCAGGAAGATGAGGCAGGAGGATTGCCCCAAGTTTGAGGCCAGCCTGGGGTACATAGCAAGACCCTGCCTCAAAAAAACCAACCAAATAAGGGCTGGGGATTTAGCTCAGTGGTTCCGCCCCCTGTCTCGAAAGTGCAAGGACCTAAATTCAATCCCTGGTACCAAAAAAAAAAAAAAAAAGCCAACCAAATAAAAAAGGTTCAGGAAGAGTACAAAGGGCCCCATGCAGCACACTTGTGACCTGCCTGTCCGGTTTGCCTTCTCTGTTCTCTGCAGTGATCTGAAAGCGGAACCATCAGTCCCCACCCCACACACTCTGCCCTGGTGACTGCGATGTCACCCTGCTGCTCTTCCCTGGGGACAGTCCTCGGCCTTGACCTCGAGCTGGCAGTGGGCTTGGGGCTACAGAGTTCTCACGACTCTTCCTCCTGTCCACAATCCTGTCTCAGTGCAGGAAGCTTCAATGCTGGCCAAGGCCCCTGTGCCACCTGTCTTGGTGTAAGTTAGGGAGAGTTAGGGGATATGAAGGTGGGGGGGCGGGGTGTGTGTGGCAGTGGCTAATGACAGCCTGTGCCATGTCCCGAGGGAGACCCAGCCCTGGGGGCCTCTCTGTGCAAACAAGGGCTGGCTAGAAGGACACCAGCCTCGTGTACCAGGCCTTGCAAGGCAGGGGTCTTTGGAAAACAGCCCTTCACAACAGTTGGAGCCCTGATAGGGCAATAAGGCCCCAGATGCCCTTGATTTTAGCCCAGTGTGGTGGCTTGTGTTTAGGTGTCCCCCAAAGCCTCATGCTTTTTCAGAGGTAGCTGACTCTAGAGTGGCAGAAAGACGGCTGTTAAGGCCCCTTGTCACTTTTGCTGCTTCCGCTGCCATGAACTGTTTCACCTCTGCCGCCCCACCATGGAGCCAGCCGATTATAGACAGAAATCTCTACAAACTGTAAGCCAAATAAACCCTTCCCCCTTTAACTTTGGGTGTGGGGTATTTTGTCTCAGCAGAGAGAAAAATACGTAGCACATTCAGTAAACCAGGTGTGGTGGTTCACAACTATTGTCCCAGCACTCTGAGAGGCTGAGACAGGAGGATCACAAGTTCTAGCTCAGCATAGGCAACTAAGCAAGACCCTGGTTTTTCGGGGGGGGGGGGGTTGATACCAGTGATTGAACTTGGGTGCTTGTGCTTGCCAGGCAGGTGGTGGGACCAATGAGCCAAATCCCCGGCTAGACCCTGTATTTTTCATATGTGCTGCCGAAGTGAGCACAGTAAGACCCTATATTCATAAAAAGAGGGGTGGTGCATTTCCATGCAAAGGTCCTGAGTTCAATACCCAGTAATGAAAAAAAATTAGCCAAAGACCTAGGTCTGACTTCTGATCCCTGTAAGGTGACAGATCTGAGCTATTTTCACTTAGTTAGAGCTGCAAACAGAAAACCCACAGGGGCAGTCTAATGGGTCAGGTACAGACAGGGCACTCTGGGAGTCCCACCCACATCTACAGGCCATCTCTCCTGTCACTGGCCAAAGTCAGGTCACATGGCTATCCTACACCAATGAGGATAGACGGACTGGCACTGGGACCCACTTTGGCCAATCAGAACTCAGCTCTCCAGCCAATCTGGGGACTCAGCTCCATGGCTAATGTACTCAGCTCTGTGGCCAATCAGGACTCACCCCTGTGATCAGTAGGACTCCCCACTCTGGCCAATGAGGACTCACCTCCTTGGCTGAAGTCCTACTCTGCCTTTTGTAACTAATTTGGTCCCCCGATTCCCACAAAAAATGGGGTCCCTTGTTGGGGCAGGGGTGGGGAAGCAGCTAGAGAGGTAAGGCAGGAAGTTGGGATCCAGGTACACTGGGCTGAGCAGGCCCAGCAGGAGGGATCTCAAGCGCAGGCCAACAATACCCTGTGGAAGGAACATCCGATGGGAGCATGGGAAGGCCAGGCTGTCCTTAAAACTCCTGCACCCGCTGCCATGGCTAAGTCCTCGGGTCCACCTTAGTGACCTCAGGGAACCAGCAAAGCCTTCGTCCTGGGCCACAGAGGCTGCTGGCATCCTGCAGGAGTGGTTCAGGCCTCCAGTTCAAGCTGGCCTTGGACTTACTGTGTAGCCCAGACTGGCCTTGAACTTGAGGCAATCCTCCTGCCTCAGCCTCCTGAGTGCTGGGATGACAGGCATGTGCCACCACACCTGGCTTTTTGTACAGCTTTATGACTCCTAGAGAAAGAAAGTCGTTCCCGTTCTTCCAGCACCGGGGACTCCTGCTTTCTGGCATCAAGGCCAGGAACCGCCAGACTGCACACTGGATGACAGCCTACCTGTGTGGATGCCCTGCCCCGCTGTGCATGGGGCACCATCCTCAGCATCTGACTGGAACTCGGTACCCACCTCGCAGATGGGAATGTGGAGGCAGAGAGGGGCTGCAGGGCCTGCTATGTGAGTGGCCTAACACTGCTGTCCCAAACTGCCACAAACTGGGTGGCTTAAAACCCTTTCTGCCCCTTCTCCCCTCGAACTTCCAGAGGTCAGAGGCCCATAGGGGTCACACTGGTTGAAAGTCAAGGTATCCGCACAGCGCATTCTGCTGGAAGCTCGAAGGAAGGGAGAAGCTCTTCCAGGCCTTTCCCAGCTCTTCCAGGCCACCCACATTCCTTGGCAAGAGGCCTCTCCCTCCCCCATCATGGCCCGCAATGGTCTCCAAGATCTCTGTCCCTGTGCTCCAGCCACAATGGAAGGGGGTGTCTCTCTCTCTCTCTCTCTCCCTTTCCCCCCCGGGTACTGGTGATGGAACCCAGGGCCTTTACACTAAGCTACACCCCAGCTGTTTAAACAAAAGTTTTATTTCGAGATGGGGTCTAAGTCACTGAGTTACCCAGGTTGGGCTCAAACTTTCGATCCTCCCGCCTCAGCCTCCCAGAATGCTGGGATGACAGGCGCGCACCACTGCATATGCCATTCAAGTCTCAGTGTTGTTTTTTGTTTGTTTGTTTGTTCTTTGGGGTTTTTTGAGACAGAGTTTTGCTATGTAGTTCAGGTTGGCCTGAACTCACTATGTAGCCCAGGCTGGCCTTGAACTGGCGGTGATCCTCTTGCTTCGGCCTCCTGAGTGCTGGGATGACAGGTGTGTGCCACCATACCTGGCATTCAAGTGTCAGGTGGTGTTTTTTTTGGTACCTGGGATTGAACTCGGGTCCTTGTGCTTGCACGGCAGGCAGCGAAACCACTGAGCTAAATCCCTGGCCCCTCAAGTCTCAGTTTTAATGTGCCTTTGAGCCTTCCTCAATTTCCGCAGGCTACCAGAGGCACAGCCTGTGGGTGCAACAGCTTCCCCATATCTTCCCCGGAAGTCATTATCTCTCTGCCTTTCTGGGCCTGGAGTAAGAAGCTGGGGAGGTCAGCAGAGGCCATGGGGAGCCATGGCAGGTGTTTGAGCTGGGGAGGGTCTCCCAGAGTTGGGGCAGGAAGTGGCTGGCAGAGGAAAGCCAGGCCTCTCCCTGGGGTCTTGGGAAGTGGGGACCCCTGGAAAGGGTCAATCATTTACCTAAGGTTTCCCAAGACTTGGCCTCTGGGGTGGGGACTAACGGCGAGCCTAGAGCTGGCAGGAGAGGGCCAGAGCCCACGCCGGCCAGACAATGACCGTTTGATTGAGAGCAGAGTGGCAGAGCCATGGCAGGGTCAAGACCTGGCCAAGGTCACACCATCCAGCCCCCGCAGACCCTCAGCAGGAACACAGGGTCCTGTCCCAGCCCCACTCCAGGGAGAATCCCTGTGGGATTGCCAGGGCCCATGGCCAGGCCAGGCCAGCACAATGCCAAGGGGGCAGCGACTTGGCCCACGGCCACAGCTGGGGCACAGGGTCAGGCTTCGGAGCTAAGGTCAGAGGAAAGGTCCGGGTGTGGCTTCTGCTGGGGACAGAGCTCTCTGGATGGGCTGGCTGTGCTGTGTAACTCCAGGGAGCCTCCGTTTTGCTATCTGAGGAGAAGGCAGATGCAGGAATTGGGGGACTGGGCACAGCCATCCTCAGGAAAGACATTCACCCTTTCACGTTTTCCTGAAAGCATGTACCACTCTTTGCACATAGAGCTTCATTTGTTTGTCTACATATTTTGTTGTTGGTGGCCCCTCCAAATCCAGAGACTGGCCTCGGTCTTTCCTGGTCACTGTGGTGCCCCCGAATCCTGCAGTCTCTCCCACCACCATTAATCCACTCTCAGGAGAACCAGGGACTCCAAAGAACCGAGGCATCCTGACCATTTTGGGGCCCCCAACAATAGAAGGAATCAGCCCCAAAATAGGAAGAGTCTGACTTCACTGCGGCCTAGAGGACACAGCCCCCCAGGCCCACGTGAATGTCACTGTCATAAATTGTGGAAATGCCTCTGCTTGGGCAACCAGGGATTCCAGGGCTGCTGAGGGCTACAGGGAATCAGAATCTTGGCGGGGAGGGGAGGAAACCCTAATAGCAAACCAGGGGAAGCCGGGCGCTGTGCTGGACATGCTTGTCATCCCAGCACTCTGGGAGGCTGAGGCAGGAGGATCACAAGTTTCAGCCCCGCCTAGTCACTTAGTGAGACCCTGTCTCAAAGTAAAAAATAAAAGGGGCTGGAGATGGATCTGAGTGGGAAGGCTCAGGGATTCAGTCCCCAGTACCACAAAATAAGAGGAGATCCGGTGGATCTGGCCTAGGGCATCCTTTGCAAAGGTTGGCTACCGTCCGCCTGCAGCAGGACCAGCTGCTGTCCCCTCCACCTGCCCCCCCCACCCCCTTAGCTGTGCCCGCTGATTGTGGTCAGGTGGTCTACATGATACCTGGGTCTGCAGACCGCCACAGGCACCCAACCACTGGGACACCTGGTAGTGTCTCCTCCCGGATCCACTAAAGCCATGGGTCACCGAATTCAATTCACAGTCAAGGCCACAGCCACACCTTCCTAGGGAATCTCTGCCTCCCAGATGAGACGTGGGCTCTGTCCCCCTCCCTCGCTGCCACTCTCGCAGGGCCCTGCCTTGCCACCCGCGGGACACGTCCGGTCCCCGCGCCCCCCCCACTGCGCCCGCCCCGCCCCGCCGCCGCCGGCCCCGCCCGCGCCGGGACCTTTATAGCAGCTCCCGCCCCGCGCACTGCAAGTCTCGCCTCGCTCAGCCTTCACCATGCGTCCCGGGGTGCGGGGGCCGCTGTGGCCACTGCCCTGGGGGGCCTTGGCCTGGGCCCTGAGCTTCATAGGTGCTGTAGGCTCGGAGAACCCCGCGCCTGGTGAGTGGGGCTGCGGGAAGGACGGGCGTGGTGGTCACCCACGTGGTCTGCAAACTGCAGGACTGGGGTGGCGGGTGCTGGTGGCCGGAGTTTGGGAGGGGGCAGAGCGGGTCTGTAAGGACACCTCTGGACATTTACTGAGGGCTCAATGTCTACTTCCGAATCGGCAGAGGAACCCACGCCTGTGGGCTCTCTCACTTTCCGGCTGGGGAAACTGAGTCCCGGGCTCACACAGCCTGTAAGTGGTGCCAACCCAGACCCGGTCTGGATGGGTCCTGAGGCTTGGGACAGAGGGGCATCGCTGGGTGGCTGGACCGGAAACTCCAGCTGGGATCTGCGATCCTCCCCAGATGGGGCTGGAAAGGGGAACCTGGTACCTGAAACTTTCAAGGAGAGGAGTGACACGCTCATGCCCAGCCTCAGTTTCCCTTTTTGTAAAAGAGATGCTGGGTCCCCAGCTGGTCCCTGGAAGGCCTCAGTGGTGTCCTGGAGCCAGAGAGAGCAGTGGGGTGGGGGCCACAGCTGGTCCCCGCCCCCCTTTAAGGGTGAAGAACCAGAGGGACTTCTGCCTCCTGGCCACCCCACCACCTCCCCACAGCCGCACCCCAGTCTGGCGGAGGGGAGAGCGAGCCCCCTCCCCGAAGGCCGAGTCCCCGGGGAGATGGTGAGCTCATGCCGGGGGAATGTTCCCAAGTTAGAGTGAGTAAGAGGCGGGTCAGGAGAGGGGGGGCTGCCCAGCGGGGGGCTCCGCGCGCCCTCGGGCGCTGTCTAGACAGAGGGCAGAGGCGGAAGGAGCGCTCCAGGCCCAGTGACCCCGAAGGGCCAGGCCGTCCAGCATTTGACCCCTTGGGCAAGCTGCCAGCTCTCAGGCCTGGGGACAGCCAGGTGGGGGCTGACAAGGGGCTGGGGGCCACAGGGGTCCCCCAGGGTACCTGTGCTCCTCCTTCCTCTGTTGGGGGCCCAGTGTCTGCTCCGCTGCTCCTGAGCCACTGCAGAAGCTGGTCCCTAGGAGTGGCCCGGAGCATAGGCGCCGTCCCCTCCCTGCCCACAGGTGGGGTGTGCTGGCTCCAGCAGGGCCCTGAGGCCACCTGTAGCCTGGTGCTGAGGACAGACGTGAGCCAGGCTGAGTGTTGTGCCTCGGGCAACATTGACACCGCCTGGTCCAACTACACCCAACCCGAAAACAAGATCAACCTCCTGGGCTTCCTGGGCCTTGTCCACTGTCTGCCATGCAAAGGTGAGGACCCCTCATCCCAGGAGTGGCCGTGGCCAGGAGCAGGGTGGGCAAGGCTCAGTTCCAGCCCAGCACAACTTAATGTCTGTGATTGAAGGGAGGATAAACCAGGGGTGTGCTCCCTGTCACAGGAGTATGCAAGGAGGTCACAGAAGACATTCTGGCCTTCCAGAGGGCTGGGGCTATGACCCAGATCCCCAGCCTTCGGCTTCCCACAGCAGAGGATTTGGAAGGAGCCTCTGAGAAACCCCCAGCTTCACCACGCAGAGGCCCGGCCCACACCTGACTGGTGGGAAGGGGTTTTCCCCAGGGGCTGTCCTGGCTCAGGAAGTTCCTAGGGTCTGCACCAGGGCTCTAACCCCACCGAGTGTGTGCCCAACAGGCTCCTGCCTCTCTGGACCAAGCTCTAAGAAACTTACCCCTCACACCACACCAAGAGTCCAGACATCCTCTGTCTCAGAGGATGAGTTGGTTGGAGGACCCTTCTTGGTCCCTTGTGGTCAAGTCTGAGCCTCCAAGGGCCTAGAGAGGGAGAGTGTGGGGCCAGGATTTAAAGGACGTGGGCATTAATGACAGGGGGTTTTGGGATGATCAGGAGTCACTGGGTCTGTCCTAGGCAAGGGGACAGGCAGGAGGCAGAAGCAGAGGCTTGGAGACCTGAAGGCCAAACCTCGCTGTAGCCCAGCCGGCTCTGACATGTGATTACTCCCAGATCAGCCTGGCTGCGTGGTCCTGAGCACCCTGTCGGGCACCCACTTCCGGACTTCTCTCTCCCCGCTTCTGGAAGGAGGACAGACTTCAAAATGTGCCTGGCCTGGCCATGGGGTGGCCCAGGACCTAACCCCCCCCCCCAATTTGGCCTTCAGGATGGGAACTTGGCCCCTCTTCTCTTCCCGCTTGCAATGAAGCCACTTGGCCGAGCGGTTCCAGATGTGTGTGTGGGCAGGCAGTGTGGGAGGTGCCCTAGTGCGGCCCACATGCCCTGGTGGGAGGCGTGGGGGGCGCTGGCCACTCTTAGAGCTCTAGCTGGACCCTAAACTGAGGTCTCCCAGCCCCCTGCTACACACAGGGAAACTGAGGCTGGAGTGGTCAGAGCCTATGCTCCAGCCCCACAAGCCACAGAGCTGTGTCCACCAGGGGCTGGCCCGGAGTTCTCAAACCGAAGTGCTCCTGGATCCTCTGCACGCACAGCTGTGGCCCAGCCTCAGTTTCCTTGTCTGTACAATGGTGGTCAGGAGGATTCGATAAACAGCGCTCTGAAATGGGGGGGTGGGCAGCAAGAGGTTTCTCCTAGCTGAGCCTCAATTTCCCTAGCTGAGAAATGAGGATGCAGGGGTGAATGGAGGCTGCCATCCACCCAGACTAGTGGCGGAAATTGGGTCACCGACGGGACCCCAGATTGTGGGCAGAGACTCAGTCGCCCACCGCGACGGAGACCCAACCCAGGTGCACCTGGACTGTGCCCGGACCCCGACCTGGAGGAGAGGACCCACCCGCGCATGTCCTGTGTCCGCAGATTCCTGCGACGGCGTGGAGTGTGGCCCTGGCAAGGCGTGCCATATGCTGGGGGGTCGCCCCCGCTGCGAGTGCGCACCCGACTGCGCAGGGCTACCGGAGCGAATGCAGGTCTGCGGCTCGGACGGCGCCACCTACCGCGACGAGTGCGAGCTGCGCTCCGCGCGCTGCCGCGGACACCCGGACCTGCGCGTCATGTACCGCGGCGGCTGCCAGAGTACGGGGCGGAACAGCGCGGGGAGGAGGAGCCAGACTGGGCCACCGCCAAAGCACAAGGGCGGGGCCTTTGGAGGACCCGGCAAGAGGGGCGGGATCATAGAGGGGTGGAGCTACCCGGACCAGCGCCTAAAGTAGTGCCCCGACTGCTGCCAGAGTGTGGCTCGGGGCTTGGAGTGTGGCGGGGTCTACGGAGAGCGGGGTTATAGGGTGGGGCCAGATGGAGGGAAGGGGCCACCTGGACCAGTGCATCCTGTTCTATGGGCCGCAAATCTGAGGTTGAACCTGCATGCCTGAGTGACCGGGCCAGGTCTCGCCAATGGACTCGAGCGGCTCCTGAGTGCTGCCAGAGGGGATGGGGCTTGGGGATGGACCCAGATTTGGGGCCTGTGGGTGGAGCCAGAGGAGCAGGACTTGTTATCGACACAAGGGACATGGTGGGGTGTAGTTTTCGGATGCAGAGAAAGCGAGGTTGTGGGTGAAGCGAGAGAGACCGGGCGCGTGATGAGGGTGTGGCACGCTGGTGTGCTTTGAGGGTGGGGCTGGGGCAGGGACCCTGTGGGGGTGTGGCACAGGGCTCTAGTGCGGAGCTTGGTTTATACCGCGAGCGGCGGGGTTTAACGATGTCGCTAGAAGGGCAGAGCTCGTGGTGGGGGTGGGCATCCCAGGTACAATAGAGGGTGGAGCTTGCGGGTAGAGTGAGAGGGGCAGGCCCTGGGGGAGAGCTTGGGGTGGGGCTCCGCTGGCCGACACCGCCTTGCGCCCCGCCCACAGAGTCCTGCGAGCACGTGGAGTGCCCGCGGCCGCAGTCGTGCCTCGTGGACCAGACGGGCAGCGCGCACTGCGTGGTTTGTCGCGCAGCGCCCTGTCCCGTGCCCTCTAGCCCGGGCCAGGAGCTCTGCGGCAACAACAACGTCACCTACATCTCCTCGTGCCACCTGCGCCAGGCCACCTGCTTCCTGGGCCGTTCGATCGGCGTGCGCCACCCGGGCAGCTGCAGAGGTGAGGTGCGGGACGCGTCCAGGACAGGAGCCCCACGCAGGGCCTGCGCTTACCCTCTCTGCTCCCCTGCACCCCGTAGGCGCTCCCAGGCAGGAGGCAGAGGAGGAGCAGCAGCAGGATGAGGCCGAGTCTGAGGAAGAGGAAGAGAACTTCGTGTGAGCTTCAGGGGCCCCGGCCTCGAGTCCCGGTTAATTTATTACCACAGCCACAAAATCTAATTTATGACCCACAGACGCCCCCAACCTGGCCTGGAACCACTCGGGGACCCCGCAGTGCCCTGATGATGTCTTGGAAAGGTTGAGGGAAGGAGGCCTGGGACGGCCCGGAGGGTGTGGCACCCTGGGTAGGAGCCTTAGGGTAGGGGACTTTTCCCAAAGCCCACAGACCCTGATGCCAAGGGACACCCCAGCTTCTGGTCCTTTGAGGGTGGCTGTCACTTAGCACTGCCACCCAGAGCACAGGAAAGCTCTTTCCGTCCCCTGCCTCTGTGTCCCTCTTATGTGCTGGGGAGGCCTTGTGTGTCCCCTGGGACGGCCACAGCGCTGGCTCAGCCACCACACTGCTGACATTCACGTGGTTCACCTGGGAACATCCTGTGGCCTCAGATACTGGGCAACCAGCGTCTGCTCAGACGCCAGCACTGTGTCCAGCGGCATCCAGTCTACTTGGGGCAGGACCTAGAGGGCGCTGTGACCCCACCTCACCCATAGGCCAGGGTAGGGTGGGGACACCGGGAGCCCAAGTGGTGCCTGTGCCCACTGCCGTGTACAGCATGGCCAGCGAGCCTTAGACGCAGTTCCCAGCAGCCCTCCTCACCCACCAGTCGGCTGGGCAGGGTGACCCTTCCCAGGCAGATGCCCTTGGGGGGGCAGTCCCCCAAGACTGCCTGCCCTCCACTCAGACTGTTATTCAAAGTCACCAACTGTGCCTTCATGGAGTCCAAAGGCTCAGACCGGATATGGGACCACTCAGCAGGAAGGGAGCCCAGCTCCTCAAATCCCGGGCGAGCAGTTTGGGGGAATCTTGCCCCTCCTGCGCAGTCCCTGGGCTTGCCTTATTGTGCTGCCCAGAAAAGGGTGTGTGTGTGGGGGGTCCCCTGACAAGGCAACTTCCTCCCTCCTGGGGTCCTGCCTCACCAAAATAATAAAATCTGAAAAAGCCACTCAAGGGTGTCCAGGCCTCTGTGTGCCCAACTTGGAGCCCAGCCTGGGCAGTTTAGCAACTAGCAAGACTTGGTCTCTAAATAAAAAATAATAGTAATAATAACGATGTGACGGTCGCATGAGATGACACTGGCTAAGGGGTATGGATTCCCAAGGATGAGGAGCCAGGAGTGGGGGGTCCTGGAGGCCACTGGGCAAAGCTGTTACAGCGCCTGGGGAGACCGCCAACAAGAGACTGGTTTGATTGACTGTTCATGTGGAATGGCTGCCCCCCTCCAGACACCAGGCCCTGGGGCCCTAGGGCTGTGACATCCCCATCCAAGCTGACAGCTTCACGGTCGATTGTGTGCCCATGGGGCTGTGGTCAGGCACGAAGGCAGAAAACTGCGTGTGCACAGCCAGGGTCCTGCGGTTCCCACAGAGAAGCTAGAGAGAGACGAGGCCACGGGCGCAGTTTGTGCACAACAGGGCCCCCCCAGAGTCTGCCTGGAGTGAAGGGAGAGGCGAGGTCAGGGCCCACTTTCTGGATCTCAGGTTCCCTATAGAAGATGTGGACCCTCTCTGCCTCAAACCCCCTCCATGGCTCCCTACCACTCTTAAATCAAAAACTTACTTCACCTCAGCTTTCAAGGACCTGAGGCTCCTACCCCCACCCATCTCTCTACCCTGCTTACTCTCTAACTCACTGGGCTCCAGCCACGCTGACTTCTCTGACAATACCTGCCTTTTCTTGTCCAGAGACCTGATACGACCTGTTACTGCCCTCTACTGGACACTGCTTGTATGATTATGCAAGTCTGTGGTCTTTGTGCAGTGTGTGACCTATACAACTGAACAGGGCAGCCCTGTGTGATCCACATCAACTCCACGCCCTTTCTGGGCCTCAGTGTCTCTATCTGATCAAACCTTAGTGGGCCACAAATCCCAGGACCACCCCTGCTCAACTCCAACCCTCTCTGCAGGCCTGTTTTCTCATACCATAAACAGGTGAAGAGAGTGTCTTACCAAGCAGAAATTCCACCTCTGGCAGTCCTGGTGCTGGGTGCAGAGGATGGCCAGGCTCAGCTGGTCCCACCAGGAGCTCCTGTAGACACCTGGATTTAGCACAAGGACCTTGGCCTTCATCAGCCTAGGGGGTGGGTCCTCAAAGTCCAACAGGAAGCCCCAGTCAGCTACCTGGCACCGTGTCCCAGTCATAGGGGCCCTGGCTCTTCACTACAGCCTTAGTAGTCCCAAGGCTAGGCCCAGCACAGCAGAGCTATGCAGCTGTGGGGACAATGCTGAGGTCTAAGTGTTGAACCCAGGGCCTTTGCACTGAGCTACATCCCCATCCCTTTTTATTTTTTATTCTGAGACCAAATCTTGCTAAGTTGCCTAGGCTGGGCTCGAACTTGTGATCCTCCTGCCTCAGCCTCCTGAATGCTGGGATTACAGGCATGTGCCACCATGCCCAGCCATGTTTTACCCATCAATATAAAAATGTACATCCAGGCCAGGAACGTTGATGTCCACTTGTCATCCCAGCACTCTGGGAGGCTGAGGGAGGAGGATCACAAGTTTGGGCCCAGCCTGGGGAATTTAGCAAGACTCGGTCTCAGAATAGAATAAATAAAAGGGCTGGGAGTGTGGCTCAGTGGTGAGCACTTCCCCAGTATGTACAAAAAGCCCTGGGTTTCCATCCCCAACACTGCAGAACAACAACAAAAAAACCCAGATGTTAGATCATGGGCAGCCCAAGGTCACCCAAAGCAGGCAAATATCGCTGGCGTGGGTCTCAGGCTGGTAGTCCGGGCGTGTGACGAGGCCGTGATGCTGGACACCTGCTGTGTGAGCCATAGGCGTGCAAGGCATGGGTCCCCAGGACCACCACGCCTCCTCAGGTGTCCCTGGGTGCGGAGGGTGGCACTGGGTGAGGGGCGCTGCCCTTGGCCTCGGCCCCCTCTTCTGAGAAGCCAGGAACTCAGCAATGCCTTCAGTGCTCACACCGGCCTCAGTACGACCATCCCCACTTCAATTACAGCAAAACTCCGACTGTGATAATATGAATTTGAATCATAAAAACATGCTTAGAATGCACATAGCACCGTATTTGTTACTATCCCATCTCCATGATTGCTGTCATTACAGCAGCAATATTAATTTTCTTTTTATTTGCAGCACACCAGGGATGGAACCCAGGGGTGCTCTACCACTGAGCTGCATCCCCAGAGTTTTGTATTTTTCATTTCGAGACAGTGTTGCCCCAAGCTGCTAAGTTGCCCAGGTTGCGCTCCAACTTGAGATCCTCCTGCCTCAGCCTCCCCACTAGCTGGGATGACAGGTGTGCGCCACTACATGGGTACAATAATAATTTAAGAGCAAGAATAATAAACTTAAAATGATGATAATAACTATAGCATTTAATTGACATCCCAGCTGTAGCTCAGGTGCATATCTGGGATGCGCCCTTCTCCTCTGTTTTCTGGGTTCCCTGGAAACAAGCTTGAGTCCCAGGCCAGAGTTGGGTCTACCGGGCCCCACTGGGCCCCCCAGCCTCTCTCTCCGGTCCCTGAGGCAGTGGAAGGCTGACGCCGCCCAGCAGGGATGCAGCGAAAGCCCCCTCCGTGGTGGTCTGCCCCAGCACACAGGCACCATGTGGGGAGGGAGGGAGGGGTCACCCTGTGGCCCCGATGATCTAGGCCCCCCAGGAACCTCTGGAGGGGGCAGCTGTATGAGGATTCAGAGTGGCGCAAGGCAGGTGATCAATGGGGACAGCCCTGCATGGACAGGGGCTGCAGGCCGGGGGAGGAAGAGGGAGAGCAACGTGGCAGATGGCTGGGGAGAGGGCCCAGGCCTCAGGACAACCGGCTCCCGGGGCCAGGCACACTAGGCGCTGGGCAGGAGCCCAAGTGGGAACCTGGAGCACCCTGGGGAGTTGAAGTCCTCACCCAGGGTGGGCAGCGTGAGGACAGCGGCAGTGACCAGGAGCGGGCAGCCCCAGTCCCTAGCCCCAGGGCACACGATGGCTGCGGCCCCAGCATCAGCCAACAGCAGCTGGCACAGGCCCTGGGGTTGGAGGCCCGGCGGCCCACTGAGGGGTTCTGGGACTTGGGTGATGCCACTTTCTGGTATCACTGGTGGCAGTCACAGTGGCATGAGGACAATGGGGGTGTGCGCAGGGACTTGAGCCACTGTGACTTCAAGGACTCACTTCATTCCCTCTGCCTGTTTACCCAGCAGCTGTCCAGCCAAACATCCTTGCATAGGGAGATTCTGCAGTGCTCAGCTGAGGCCACGCTGGACAAGGGTTACTGGGGGGAGTCACAGGCTGGGCCTCACCCCAGATGGGGCGGCCTCCTCTGGTGCTGCACACTCTGCCTTGGTTTCCCCATCTGTGACCTGAGCGCTGGCTTCGGTGTTCTGAGGACAAGGACAAAGGCCAGTCATCTGAGAGCTTTGCTGCATTTGTGGAGCGACTACTGTATATTGGACCTCATGACAGGAGTTGGGGTACAGCAGTGATCATAGCCCCACGGATGGAGATTCTGGGGGATACGGACAGTGTCCAGCAGGACATGGGCAGTACCTTGCTGTCCCAATGTAGGGTGGATAGAGCGGAAAAGGGCTGTGGACACAGCGGGCTGTTGCGAGTATAGGCACAAGCTAGTCCAAAGCCCTGGCTATGGCCTTGCAGTGTTGCTTGGTTTCTGTGCCATTGATATTCCCAGGTTTTTGTTTTGTTTTGTTTTGTTTTAAATTTGTTTGAAACAGGGTCTCCTATGTAGTTACTCCAGGCTGGGCTGGAACTCACTGTGTATCCCAGGCTGGACTTGAACTCATGATCTTCCTGTCTCAGCCTCCCTAGTGCTGGGATGACAGGTGTGTGCCATGACGCCCAGCTTTCCCAGTTTCAATCGGCGAACGTAAAGCCACTGAGCTGGCAAAGCCACCTGGACCCCCGGGGGTCCTGGGTGTCCCCGGTGGTTCCTGCTGTCATCCGGGTGGCCACGAAGCAGATCCCACATACCTCAGAGGAAGACACCTGGCTGGAGTGAGGCCCTAGGACCGGCGTGGCCACTGGGTTCCTGCTGGAGGTGGATCCCTCTGGTGAGAGGGGGCAGAGCAGGGGAGCAGGCTGGGGACAGGTGCTGCTCCTGGAGCAACCGGGACCTGCAGCCTACCTCTCAGGCAGCCTGACTGTCACCCGGCCACCTGCTGTGCACGACCACCAGCTGCAGCACAGGCCCGGGACCCATCCTGCCCAGCCATGGAGCCTGATTACTGCTCCACATGGACTGGTGGCTTCCATCTGCTCTGGTCCACCGGGTGTGTCTGGCACAGCTGTGTCCCCAGGGCCTGGACTGTGACTGTGGAGGTTGTGCAATGCATTGTCAGGTCAGCTCCTCAGCTCCATGGGACCCTGGCCTGGGCTTGCTTCCAAGGCAGAGGTGAAACCTCCCTCAGCCACACGCCCTGTGGGGTCTGACGAATGTTACTTTACGCTGCTACAGCTCTGTGGGAAGTCAAGTACCTAAAGATAACAGCATTGCCTCCATGCCCAAGTTAGGGACAGAAAACAGGCACAGAGAGGTTAAGAACCTCCACCAAGGTCACACAGCATGGAGCTCACCAGGAGTTCAAGGCCAGCCTGAATTACAGAGTGAGACCCTGACTCAAAAAACAAAAACAAAATAAAACACATAAAAAAGAAGATAATATGAACACAAACCATAGGTGGCACCATCTGTGAGACCTGAGTGGGGAAGGTGTGATCAGAGGGGCAAGAGGCACGGGGAAGGGGTGGGATTCTAAAGTGGGACCCAAGAGGGCCAGGGATTTAGCTCAGTGGTTTCGCCTCCTGCTGCACCACTGCAAGGACCTGAGTTTGATCCCTGGTACCAAAAATAACTAAATAAATACAAAATAAAATGGGACCCAAGAAAAAGGAGAGTTGGAGATGGCCTAGCAGAGGTCCAAGCGGGGTTCAGGGCTTGGCCTGGAGAGTTGGGCAGAGGGCACTGGGGAGCCATGGGGGTCACGTGAGCAGGGCCAGGCAGGTGGATCCCTCTGGCCAGAGGGGGCAGAGCAGGGGAGGAGGCTGGGGGCCAGGAGGCCGTGGGGCCGAGTGTCCAGAATCGGGCCTGGAGGAGGCACGAGGGTCTTGGAGTGGGCTGGGATGAGAGCCCGGTGTCTCCTGGGAAAGGAGCAGGTCACAAGGGCCACCACACAGCCACCATGCCCGGCTGTATCAGGGCATCGAACCTGGGGCTCCCTCTGTTCTGGGGAGGCCTCAGGCTTCTGCTCTGAGCAGGTGGGAGCCCCTGGAGGTTTAGGCTGGTGGGAAGAGGGAGAAACGTTACCAAGGACCCATTTCTGTCACTAGGCATGGCCTCCCATACTTCCTCCTCATTTTTTTTTGCTTAAATTCTTTTATGGGTACATTTAAGGTACACAATATGTTTACATTTATCATTGGGTGTTTGTACCTGTACATGATGTATCTTGGTTCTTATTTTTTCCCCATCACTTGTGCGGCCTTCACCACTCCACCCTTCCCTATTTACATACTTCGTTTCCTTTTTTTTTTCTTTTCTCATAATTTTTCCTTTCCATTCTTTCCTTTCCCCATCTCCTCCCACCACCCCTACCCCTTTGGACCTTTTCCTATTTCAAAGTATCAATTATTCGTTATTAATCCTTTTAATCCTTATTTACACTCTTTCATTTTTGTTTTGTGGATTTGTTCTTGTTCTTTTGAGGCAGGGTCTTGCTGTGTAACCCAGGCTGGCCTTGAACTTGAGGTCTTCCTGCCTTAGGCTTCTGAGTAGCTGAGATTACTGCCTGGCTGTGTGTATGGGACTAGGCATGGAACCCAGGACCTTTGCATTGAGCTACATCCCCAACCTTATGTATTTATTTATGTATGTATGTATGTATATTTATTTATATTTTTAAATTTTTGGTACCTGGAATTGAACTCAGGGCCTCATGCTTGCCTGGCAAGTGCTGTGCCACTAAGCTACATTCCCAGCCCTCTTATTTTTATTTTGAGACGGGATCTCACTAAGTCTCGGAGTTGTCCAAGCTGGGCTTGAACTTGAGGTCCTCATGCTAAGCCTCCCAGAGTGCTGGGATGACAGAAATTAACAGAAATGCACCACTGCCATATCCAGCTTCCTCTTTAAAAAACAAAAACAAAAACAATTCACCACCTTCAAACCCTGAGTAGTCCTTTTTTTTTTTTTTTGAGACAGGGTCTCACTCTGTAGTTCAGGCTGGCCTTAAACTCTATGTAGCCCAGGCTGGCCTCAAACTTGCAGCAATCTTCCTGCTTCAGCCTCCAAGTGCTGGGATGACAGGTGTGTGACATCACACCCGGCAAGTAGTTTTTGTTTGTTTTTGTTTTTTGTTTTGGTACCAGGGATTGAACTCTGGACCTTGCGGTTTCGAGGCAGGCAGTGGAACCACTGAGCTAAATCCCTGGCCCTATTTTATTTATTTATTTATTTTTTTAAGAGAAGGAAAATTTACTGGAGAATACGGAATGGGGAATAAGGATAGCTCCTGGGAGTCAGGAAGGGTCCCAAATGGGTTGCCAATGAGCCCACTTCTCAAAGGAAGTTTCATAGAGCAAAGTCATGAGGGGTGGGTACAATGTGGGTAAAAATATAATCAACTAATAAGATTTCGAGTATAGTTGCTAAGGTAAAATTGACCCAATAGTAACAAGGGTATATGGATGACATCACTAACCTTGGTCGATAATCTGTAGTCTTAGTCTCACATCTTCTTGGTCTTGGTGGTCTCAGTCCTAGTGGGTGGGAGAGGACAGCTCAGCCTCAGTGAGAAAATGGCCTGTCTATAAAGGAAAGCCCAAAAGGGTGTGGTACCAGTAATCCCTTGAGTAATTTTTTAGGAGGTAAAACATCCCAGTCTCTCCAAAGATAGGAATTCTGAGTCCCTGTTGCATAACCATGCCAGACACATAGTAAATGCTCAATAAATCTCTTTGGCCTAAAGGGACACAGAAGCCCAGGGACAGTGAAGAATTTACCTATGGGTCATTTGAAATGAGTACCCTAGCACAGAAGACAAAAAGCCAGTGGCCTGGGGTTAAATCTGGCCCACCACCTCCTTTGTAAAAAAAGTTTTATTGACACACAATCATCCCTATGCATTTATATGTTGCCTCTGGCTACTTCAGGACTATAAATGCTAGAACGGAGCCTTCTCAGAGATCCTGGCCAGCAATGCCAAAAATATTTATTAATCTGGCCTTTTGCAAGATGTTTGTGCCTGGTGTGTGCCAGGAGGCTGTTGTAAGACCTTTAAAGTATTTGCTCAGTTAATGAGCAAACTTGAATGTGCCCAGCAACTTGAATGTGAGGCCCAGGGAGGTTGAGAACAGATCCAGTGTCTGTCGCACAGCACACAGAGAGACGGGCTGTGATTCACATCCAGGGCCCCTGATGCTTCTCTGGATTTCTCTGTTTCTCTAAAGTTGCTAACTCATCTCACTGTCTTAAGTGCTATAATGAATGCACATTCATTCTCAAAAGGGAGGAAATGCAAAGGTCTATGAGGATAAGGAGCTATGGCCCTCCCCAGTCTGGTGTCCATCCTGCTACAGTTTTCTCCAACTGCTCATCCATCCAAATATTTCCCTTTATTTTTAAAAAATTGATTCATTGATTTGTAGTACAGGGTCTTCCCAATGAGCTACATCCCTCAACCAGGTTTTTTAAAATTTTTATTATTCATTTATTTATTTGGTACCCAGGATCAAACTTGAGACCTTGAGCTGGTGAGGCGGGTGCCGGAACTACTGAGCTAAATCCCCAGCCCTTCCATTTTTTTATTTTTTATTTTGAGACAGGCTCTCCATAAGATGCCCAGGCTGGGCTCTAATTTGCCACCCTCTTGCCTCAGCCTCCCAGGGTGCTGGGATGACGGGCATGTACCACCCCACGTAGCTAAAGCTATTTTCCTTTAAGCGTGTACCCATTCAAGCACACTCCAGAGCAGTACCATTTTAATAGACAACTGAGAATTTTGGAAGCTCTCCCCACCAACCCACCCCAGGCCCAGGGAGTAAGTGTGTTTAGGGGAAGAGGGCTGCATCATTTTGGAAAGAACCCAGAGCCCTGGCGTGGTGGAGCATGCCTGTGATCCCAGCACTCAGGAGGCTGAGGCAGGAGAATCGTTGTGAGTTCAAGGCCATCCTGAACTACATAGGGAGACCCTGTCTCAAAACGATGATGACAGAAAAAGAACTTGGGAGATCAGGGTGGTGTTCTACATGTCCGGGGAAGACAGGCCCTGCCTTTCTGTCCTGCTCTGACTTCTCAGGGCCCGTTGGGGAGGAGGCCTGAGTCGGCCTGGCTCAGCCCCTCTCCCAGGGTGGACTCTGCAGCTTGGAGCAGATCAACGCGGGAGCCCACGTGCGGCCTCAGGCCCGGGCTCAGCTCGGCCCCGGGCTGTTGGGCCTGCAGCGCCCTCCGCCGGCCTCTCCACTCCCAGTGTCTGGCTGCTGGGGACCCGGGCCGGTGAGGGTGGGGTGGCTGCGATGCCGGCTCCCAGGACTGCGCCCCCGCGCTCCTCAGGCCCGCTCTCTCCGTGCCCCCGGGTTTCCTGCGTCCCCATCTGTCGGCGAGTGGCACTGGGAAAGGCGCTGGCTCTGGCCCTGGCCCGGGCCGTGGTGGCGGGCAGGGAGGTCCGGGCCTCGGCTCCGCATGGGGTTACGCGCGGGGTGGCGGCGGCCGGCAGGAGGCGCGCGCGGGCGGGCGCGGGGTGCGGGGCGCGCAGAGGGGA